TATATACTATTTTGTGGTAGCTAGCACATTTAACACTATTATGCCTAAAATTATGAGATTATACTTAGATAAATCACTTTTTTCTTTTTTTTATATGATATAATCTAAAATCTATCAAATAAATGTTTCATGGTTTTTTTTTTCTTCCCATAATACATCAGTACTATTTTGTGAACGGTAGCACATTTAACACTATTATGCCTAAAATTATGAGATTATACTTAGATAAATCACTTTTTTCTTTTTTTTATATGATATAATCTAAAATCTATCAAATAAATGTTTCATGGTTTTTTTTTTCTTCCCATTTTTAATACATCAGACTTTTATGGCTCATATTTGTGAGAATAAGGAGCTCAAACTCCAAGAGGAAAAAAAAAATTTATTCCAAGACCCAAACTGAGCAAAAATATGTAATTTGGTGCAGATACAAATATTTATATAGAGCTAAAATTCTGATAGCTGATAATGTAAATCAATGAGATCTTTAGAACAGTATAACAGACTACTTACATAAATGATATTTAAATACTTAGTTTGATGAAAACATAATGCAATACAATACAATGCTAATTGAGAGAAGAACAAATAAAATTATGTTTGGATAATCAGCTAAACATAAGTTGCTTCAGTCAAGTAAGTGTTTGACTTGAAATTTTACTAACTATAAAAGTTACTTTTACTTTAAAATTCAGTAAAGATTTAACAGCAAAGGGACATTTTTAGAATTGCACAAACTCCTTTTACTTCGACAACAAAAGGCAATATAGCATCATAAAAAATACATATTGCGATGTAATTTGACATTATAATTGTTGTTAGTATTATTTAAAGGGCAACTTTCAATAGCTTACAGTGAATTTGACTGACACATTACGAAACTTGTTTTGAAGTAGATGATGAGCAGGAGGCCTTTCTGTGTGGAGTTTGCTTGTTCTCCATGTGTTGGTTTGGTTTCTCCCACAATCTAATCTGCAGCACAGGTGAAGTAGACACTAAATTGAGTGAGAGTGTGAATGTGTGTGTGTTAGTCTTGTGATGGACTGGCCGTGTCCAGTGTGTTTCCCAGCCTTCAGCCTGAGACTCCAGCATCCTGTGACTCTGTGGTTTGGAGAATAATAGATGATTATTCCACTGTTACGGTGTACTGGCTTTGGTCTTCAGTAGATGTAACTGTGAAATATTGCCCAGACACACACAATATTTATATTCAGTTAAATTTGACACTTTCTGTTTTGCTTCCACTGCAGGTATTGATTTATGAATCAAATAATATTTATAGATAAATATTGATCTATATAACAGATAAAAAGACAGAGTAAAGGCATGTCTGTCAGTGAATTTGAATCGTTTGGGAAAAAGACACTGAGATGGAGAGAGACGGATCAGACAGAAGTTTTACCTTCGCTCTGTAGCATTTGAAAAGCAGCACGACTGTCGCCAGCAGATACGGACAAGCTGCCAGAAGAAAACTGAGGATGTTGAAGACAGAACCTGACACTGAAAAACAGAAACACAAGCACATTATTGAGCAACATTATGGAGCTCCTAAAGGCTTTCAGAAAGTTTATTGGGGAACCCAACATTTTGTGAGTAAACACAAAAATCATTGAAATACATATTTTTTCCTCCCATGTCACATTTATTCTACCACAATGCCACCTTAGCTCTGTATTAAATAGCTAATTTACTATTTAAATTATTATTCTGTCATCATTTACTCAAACTCATATCGTTCAAACCTGTGTGACTGACTTTCTTTTGTGGAAGAAGGATGTTTCACTTTTCATTGGATAGAAGAAAAGAAAAGAAAAGAAAAGAAAAGGAAAAAATGAAAAGAAAAGAAAGTCTTATTTGTGTTCCAAAGAAGAAAATACAGGATTGAAATAACATGAGAGTGAGTAAATGATGACCATTTTATTTTGGGCAAGATTTTATTCTAATGCTGTAGTTAATGCACTCTTCATTTAATTGAATAGGATGTTGATGAGGTGTGTACATGCCAGTATATGTGATTTGCTAGTTATATTTTAGTTCCTGTGATTTATGTGAAAGAATAAACACATCTGTCAATAACTAATTGCTCATGAATAAAATCGAATCAGCTGACAGTGACTGAACTCCACTGACTCTCACCTCTGACTGAGATCCAGCTGTGCAGTGACTGTCCTCTCTCTGTTTTACAGTAGTACAAACCCTCATGTGACTTTGAGACAGTCGTGATGTTCATCTCTCCTGTCGTCTGATTCTGGACGAGTGATCCGTCTTTATAGAAATCAGCTCTGAGGATCGGGGAGTTTGTAGATCGATGTAAACAGTGTAGAGTCAGAGTATCTCCCTCAATCACAGGATCAACAGAACTCAGCAGAATCACATCACCATCTACACAACACAAGAGATATATGCATGTAGGAAGATGATGGTGACACATATTGTACAGATAAACATCTATTAAGATGAGGAAGGCAATACGTGTATTAAAACAGATCATGTATTAGATTTGATCTAGTTTTATATGTCATTCAACTCACCATGAACAGTTATGTTTAGAGGATGACGTTTCTCTCCAGATTCAGACTGACACCAGTAAACTCCAGCGTCAGATGTGTTGAGGGAGTCGATTCGACATGTAGATCCTGTTAGTTTTGAACAATCTTCTGTGTTTCTGTCTGTGTATCTTCTCACTGTCCATCCAGTAGAGTTACTCTGATCCTCACAGCTCAGAGAGAGAGAGTCAGATGAGAAGTGTTGACTTCTGCTGGGACTGACCAGCAGAGACACTGAAGGAGAGACACCTGAGACAGAGATTAAACCCAGTTATGCGGCTTGTGTCATTTGAGATCCACTTACAAAGACATTTCAGATTTTCGATATCACTACAATTGTAATTTTAATGTAATATTATGATGTGATTCAGTAGGGAAAATTGAAAGGTAATTTTTTTTTTCAGACATTGTCAAAACATGTTCTAATAATTGTTGACAGGCGTAACATTACAGATCAAATGAGTTTAAAATAGAGATGTTGACATGATTTGACTCACCAGTGATCCACAGTGGCTGTGTGTTACTGAAGCTCCCTGAAGGCTCAAGTAACCTTGTCACACCCCAAAGATCCGCCGTTGACCTCTTAACTCTGTCTGTCATGAGCCCAGAAACTACAAAAACACTCCATGTCTGTCCCATTACCCCTGTTATTTCCCAAGAGACCACTAATAAACTGTCGATCCTGTTTCAGTCAAGAATTCTAGTCATAGTTTTGAGCCGCACTGTCTGTTTCCTGTTTTTCAAGTTTACCCAGGTCCCAGTTCCAGCCTTGGGTTCCTGCTCCAGCCTGGTGGTCTTCTAAACCGCTCTGGTGGTCTTCTGTTCTGCCTGCTCCGCCCTGGTGGTCTTTTGTCCCATCTGCTCTGCCCTGGTGGGCTTCTGTCCCGTCTGTTCCGTCGTGGAGGTCTTCTGCTCCATCTGCTCCGGCCTGGTAGTCTTCTGTCCTGCTATGGTGGTCTTCTGCTCCTCCGTGGTGGTCTTCTGCTCTGTCTGCTCCTCTGGTGGTCTTCTGCTCCGCCGTGGGGATCTTCGGACCCGTCTGCTCAGCTGTGGTGGTCCTCAGCTCCCCCTGCTTCGTTGGCTCCACCCTGGCTCTCTGCTCCGCCCTGGCTTCCTGCTTCGCCAATTCTGCGCTGCCGAGTATTGTATGCGCATATCGCTAGTCAGTGATAGCTACGTTACGGAACCTGCTTTAAGTTTCCTAGTCTTAGCTTAGTCTTGCCTTTTCTGTTTTCTCTGTTCTGATCATTGCCTGTGTATTTCGGATTACCCCTTCGTCTCGCCCTGTTTGGATACTGTTTACCCCTCGCCTGGATCATCGCCTGTGTTTCGGAATTACCCTTTGGATTACCCTGTTTGGACTTTGTTCGCTGGAGATCGACCCCACACCCGTCCACTGGACTATTCTTGTGTCTTGCCCTCAATATATCTGTTTGCCATCATCTGACCCTCGCCTGTGTTGACCACGTCCTTAAATAAAGCTTGCGGATGGATCCGCATGTCTCACGTCTTGTTTGCCCATAACAATTTCCATGTTTTGCCACATAATTACGTTTTATTATGTAGGCAAATCACATACTCTATCTCGCCTGCTCTCTCTCCCTCACAGACGCACATACACAACTTTGTTATCGCTACTCTGGTGATTTTATTTTAAAAGCTACATGATATTTCTCACAAGCGAGGTAACAACGGTGCTGTTCGTGAAGAAAATGAACTTAAAGTTTCACTGTTAGTAGAGACGCTGCTGCCGAACCGAATTCTGAGAGACACAGAGGCTCATCAGAGAGGTAATATAGACATTTTGGAATTAGCAACGGAGGCTTAGGATGAGATGCGGAATAAATTAATCCTACTCACAATAGCGTTTTAAGTGCAAAAACCAGACGAATGCCTTGAAATATATCATCTGATCAATGTCTTGAGGTGTGGCAGCCGTAGTATAAGTGGAACTCCGACTCCAGGCCGTTGAATTATTCGAGAAATAATGCACACCTGAGGTGTTGATGCGGCCACGACGCAATTAATAATGATATTAATTTTACTGTATTCAGCTGTTGTTTCTCCAGTAAGCCTGTATGCCCATGATATATTGCCTTAGCTAAACTTTAGCTAACTTATTACATGGTTGCTCATGAGTCATGCATGTTAGCGAGACAAATTAACTTTATTTGCCTTTTTGTCTTTTGGATAATTAGCTGTAAATTTGAGGCACAGATAGCTTAGTCTTTTGTTCATCACCACTCACCTCCACACCAAGACAAACACAACTGGAAAGGGAGGGAGGGCTTCACTTCTGCGGCTCTCTGTCTGTCTATGATGTGCTTATCAATGTACGCTACATTGCTGTGCTGCGGAGATGCGGAAAGAGAAAGGCATCGGAACTCGACAGAGTCTCAACATTTTCCGACCCGACCTGATATTTAGATTTGTTATTTGTTTGACAACGAAAGCTGTGCTCAAACAGATATACACACACACGCACACATAATACATATATTAATTTATAAAAATAAAAAAAGGGCACTTTCTCTAGAGGAAGAAAAAGGGCAGGTGCTCAAGCCCCCTCTGATGTCTATGTGTATGTGTGTAAACTCTCCATGTCAAGGCCTCGGTCAATGCAAATTCCAATTGTTAGTTCCTGTCTGCATTTGGAGGATGTTTGTCTTGGTCTGAGTACTTAAGGAAATGTTGCAAGAAGATCAGCGTGTTTCTGTAGCCAGATGAGCCAGTAGTGTGGATTGTGTCTATACTCCATACTATGTATTTTTATGAAGTTGGGTATGCATCTTTTACTCTCAGATTTATCTTTGAGAATTTGATGTCTTGTATTAATTTCATTTGATATATCTGAATTGACTATGTAATTGGCATAATACATATTTACCTGACTGATAATAAATTGGTACATTTGACTTTATTCTGACTTACTCTGAGATTATTGGCTATAGTAGATGTTAAGTCCATAACACCGCAAATCTACGCTCAGGTTAGTAACGGACTAAAATTATGTTTTAGAGCTCTGACTAACACATTGGCATTAGTCATGTATACTTAAACTGTAAAGGTTTTTCCCGTTCAGAACAACAGTGTTGTTGACCAATCTAAATAGGGTGAGCCTCAACCTCTGATTATTGTAATATTATTCTAACTAAGTATACGTGGAAAACCACGGCATGAGTATATAAAGTTACCATTAGAGGAAGTTAAGTTGGTCAACTTGGTTCTGTAAGAATCCAACCGCCAGCCCAAAAAGCGGAATCCAGCAGCCTGGTCGAAGGTTTAATGCATATTTGGTCTTTTACTTGCGCTTCTGAATTTTTCAGGGTTTAGTGTAAATTTGAGTCTAGCTCCGTTTTCAATCTGACTCCAATTTAAGTGATCACTAAATTTAGGCAATGTTTCTAATTAAAAACTGATCACACATATCATTTGTTTATTAATTTAGATATTTGAGTATTCTGGAAATCCCATAGTTTCAATTATTCGTTCATTAAGGACCTAAAATCGCTCAGAAATTCACTCGGCCAACAGTGAATGCACGGACACAAACTCGCCAGTTCTGTAACTTACTCAGAGGATACAGGGGGGATTATAATACCTTTAAGTGTCGCACCCTGCTAGCAAATAACAAAAAGTGTATTTTTTTCTATAATCACGAAAACTGTAACTTGTTAAGCCAGTGACAGACAGAAATCAGAAGATCCCTAATGGAGAGCCCCCTGCCCCGCTCATTGGTACTTATGTATGATCTGCCCTGGATGCAGATTTGCGGAAATGTTAGACTACACGATCATCTACTTGAAAAATGATTTCAGAAGATATCAGAATAAATCAACAACAATTTGTTATTTGTCAGGTAAAATTGTATCATGCCAATTAGATAATGAAACAATTAGAAGCCAATTTAGAAAGGATAATGCAATTGTGAATCACATTGTAGCCGCTCCTGTACATAGACACTGTAGCCATATGGGGAATGGCCAAGAGATCCACGCAGGAGACAACTTAACATAGTCAGACATGTAACAGTTATCCTAATTTAACAGAAGACACACGGTCTAAAATGCATAGCATCAACAACCTTTTACCAAAGTATTTCAAAGAACACTTACAGCAAAGTAACCGTGTGTTTTTAAAGAATAAACTTAACTAGCATATGTGCACATGTAATAGCACAAACAACTATAAAGTGTGCTCTATGGGCACAATGTGTTTAACACAATTACATTTTTGAATAAAAATGAAATGTATCCCTGACTTCAGGAAAATAAATAATATGGAGCATATGAAATACACTCTACACTACGGGCTGATCTGGCTACAGAATCGCAACTTTCCCTTAAATACTACCAGAACAAAAACAAAGAAACCTTTAAATCAGTTGTGAAAACATAAAAGACCTTTTGGTTCTTTAGGTTTTCGTGCTCCAGGGTCGCACCTGGCTGGAGATAGATAAACATTCCTACAGACCCCTAAAGGGGGACACACCCCCTCCTCAGCAGAACACAATTCTACAAAAGTTTTCTTATAATATAAGTAACTACTGTGAAATTGAGACCATTTTACCAATCGCACAGTGACCTTTAGAATGATACCAAACATGAAAGGGAAACAACATATTCACACGATATAACACGTGGCATATGGATATTCTTGCATTTGGGGGAGAAGAGTGAGAGGGGAGAGTCAGAGGCAGGGAGGGGAGAGGGAGGAAGGGGGTCGTAAATGAACAAGGGGATACATTTGGTCAGGCTGCTGTTGTTTGCTTTCTTTGGAGATCTCTTCTCCAGATCAGTTTTATTGTTTTATTGCATGGCATCTGTTTTGTGTGAGTTCCTGAGTTTTGGCTTCATGAGGAATTAATTTCATAAGGAAATAATTTCACCCCTTACAGTTCTATGGTCATGACCTCTGGTTAGATAGTCTTACCTTAATTAAGTGTGTTCAGATCTATGGGGACTAAATAATATGTTCTAGAATGAGCAAAGTTACGGGCCTTCTAGAATATTAGTCAGCCGTCTCTGTCTAATGACCAAGACTGACGAGTTTGTGAGTATGAACTCCATATATCCATTTGGTACGAGACTCATAGTGTTATATGAATAAGATTAATATGATTCAATAAGATTAGAGTTAAATAGAATAATCAGATGTCTAGATAAATTATACTATCAATGATCAATAATAATTGGCATTCTAACCTAAATCCGAGGTAATAATAAAGTCAGATTAGAATTGAATTGAAATTAAATTACTTTGCGCACTGAAAAGACCGAATACGCAGGAAACCTTCAGCCACCATTGGATACCTTCATTGGGCCAAAACCTGGTTTTGGTCTCTCTGTATTAATACACATATGAGTATTGATATTGATGAAACATCAAATTATCATGAGCACTTTTCCTTATGTGAAAAAAAAGAGTGCTGAATTTAAATTGTAATGTGATGAGGTCATGTGACTGATACTAAAGTTTGAATTATTTATTGTTTCATAATGTGACTTGTTTCGCATACTATTAACAGGTATTAGGCAGAAAACAGTATATACTAAGTTATGTTCAATAAACAAGATAGTATAATACGCATTTTGAACAGAACTACAGTCTCTCAACTAGGTATGTGATCATATTAGCGAAAGTTTATGAGGGCAAAAATATTTATCTCACCCATCACATTGAGAGAAACCGAGCTTGATTGTGATGATTTTGGTTTTTCATCTCTCTGTCCTCTACACCAGTACAGATCCTGATCAGACTCAGTAGCTTCTCTGATAGTGAGAGTGTCTCTGTTTACAGTGTAACGCTCAGACGGCTGTAACATTACACTGTCTGTGCCTTTATACCACTCATATCTCCACTCAGGTGTCCAGTCATATGTCCAGCCATATGTCCTGTCATTTCTCCATTTCCAGTTATTGTAAGACTCAATCACACACTTCAGATTGACTGTCTCTCCAGTGAATACAGGACTGTCTGGTGTCACAGTCAGTGTAGATGTGGGTAAATCTGTGAAGAAAGAAAACAGAGCTCTTTCAGTGAACTAGTCAGAAACATGATCTGATCATCTGAGTTCCTGTGTTTGAGTAACACTGATGTTAAAGAGGAGAGATGTGGAGAATAGAGTGATGGTCTCTCCTTCGTCTGATTCACTACAGGTTTAATGTGATTAAACATTAGATTTTTATTTTTTTTATCTCTTTAACTTAATGGTGTTTAATATGTTATTCTGAGAACTTCAGGAGGTTGTAGATTCAAAGTGTGTCATCTGAATAAATGATCGTACATGTAGTAGAGTTTAGGAGGTCAATGATATTTAACTCACCCATCACAGTGAGATAAACAGCAGAGCTTGTGTGTGAAGATTTTGGTCTTTCATCTCTCTGTCCTCTACACCAGTACTGATCCTGATCAGACTCAGTAGCTCCTCTGATAGTGAGAGTGTCTCTGTTTACAGTGTAACGCTCAGACGTCTGTGACATTACTCTGTAGCTGCCTTTATACCACTCATATCTCCAGTTACTGTAAGACTCAATCACACACGTCAGATTGACTGTCTCTCCAGTGAATACAGGACTGTCTGGTGTCACAGTCAGTGTAGATCTGGATAAATCTGTGAAGAAAGACAAAAATATAGCAAGTCAAACAGTTATTTTTATAAAAATAACTATATTCATTATTTTAACTCATATTTTATAACATTTGTTTTGTCCTGTCATTAGTTCTCTGATCTCTGTGTTTTCTGGAGGCTCTGGCTCCGTCACGTCCTCAGACAAACGCCTCTGACTCGCCATAGAAAGCAGAATGAAGCTCCTGCTGAAGAAGAGCTGAAGACCTCCAACTACAACCTCATATGAGGAGCAACTGAATCTCAATCAACTTCAACAGACTATCTGAAGACTTCACAAACTCATTTAACATCACTGTAAGTCACCTCATTTTTATCAGACATTTGTGATATGTTTGTAGAATAGCCTGGATGAAGCAGTGATTTTAGGAGTCTGTGATTTAACACTGTATGTCTCATTTCCACTGAGCTTGCATCCGCACGGATACCAAGGGCTCTTTTATGCCACATGGCCTTTAAACATGGTCTTTAGATAAAAATAATAAAGCAAACACAATGAATAA